ATTATTATTATTATTATTATTATTATTATTATTATTATTATTATTATTATTATTATTATTATTATTATTAATTATTATTATTATTAATTATTATTATTATAAATTATTATTATTATTGATTATTATTATTATTATTATTATTTATTAATAGAAATTATAAATACCTTTTGTAAACTTTCTTCAAAAGTTCTACCAATAGCCATTACTTCACCAACACTCTTCATTGAACTACCAATTTCACGTCTTACATGTTGAAATTTACTTAAATCCCATCTTGGAATTTTTGTTACAATATAATCTAAAGAAGGTTCAAAACAGGCAGTTGTTGTTTTAGTAACAGCATTACGGAGTTCAGGAAGTGTGTGACCCAAGGCAATTTTTGCAGCAACAAATGCAAGTGGGTAACCAGTGGCTTTTGATGCAAGTGCACTATTAAAAATTAAATAATTGTACATATAAAAATATTTATAAATATAAAATATAGAATATAAACATAAATATATAAACAAAATATCCATTAATACTAACCTACTACGACTAAGACGAGCATTAACTTCAATAACTTTGTATTCTAGACTTTCAGGGTTCAAGGCATATTGTACATTACATTCACCAACAACACCCAAGTGGCGAATGATTTTGATTGCAGCAGTACGAAGCATATGATACTCTTGATCACTTAAAGTTTGGCTTGGAGCAACCACAATTGAGTCACCAGTATGAATGCCCAATGGATCAAAATTTTCCATATTACAAACAGTAATACAATTATTTGCAGCATCACGAACCACCTCATATTCAACTTCTTTCCAACCCTTCATGGACTTCTCTACAAGGATTTGTTTTGACAATGCTAAAGATTTAGTGGACAAGCTACGTAATTCCTCAGGTGTATTAGCAAAACCTGAACCAAGACCACCAAGTGCAAATGCAGATCTAACAATTATTGGATATCCAATTTCTTCAGCTGCTTTAAGTGCATCATCAACAGTATTTACTGCAGTGGATTGTGCAACAGGAATATCAATTTCTAAAAATAATTTATTAGTTTGTTATTAATTATTATTGCTATTATTATTATTATTATTATATTATCAATTTGTTAATTTGTTGATTTGTTAATTATAGAATATGTGATAATTACCTGCCAAAGCTTTAGCAAAAAGATCTCTATCTTCACTAACTTCCAAAGTACGAATTGGAGTACCCAAAACTTTCACACCCAATCTTGACAAAACACCCATTTGTTCCAACTTGATACCAACATTAAGACCAGTCTGGCCACCAAAAGTAAGTAATATGCCATCAGGTCTTTCACGTTCAATAATATAGGTTAAATATTCAACAGTGACAGGCAAGAAATAGACAGTATCTGCTAAAGCATGTGATGTTTGAATTGTGGCAATATTGGGGTTTACAAGAACTGTATGTACATTGGATTCACGTAAAGCTTTAATAGCCTGTGATCCTATACATTATTATTTATAAAAAGATTTTAATTAATTCCATGCTACAACAATATCATTAACAGCAATAAATAATAAATGATAATGATAAATACCGGAATAATCAAATTCACCAGCTTGACCAATCGATAGACCTCCGGATCCTACTACAAGTACTTTTTTAACATCAACTTTAGGAACTGATGTGAAAATTTCTTCGCTAACATTTTTTGCAGCACTTTTATTTTCATTTAATTGTTTATTATTTATTGCGGTTGTACTGTAAAAATGATATGAAATTTTTGTGGTTGTGGATAAAGGATGACGAATTGAAGAATTCAAATTTTTCGATGAAGAGAGGGCTATTGGTGTAGTATTAAAGATTGAATTTGATGATGTGGTGTTTTTGTAAATTCGATTTGCATATGTAGTATTAATATTTTTTACATTTTGATGCAAACAACGACTGTTTATCTTATTGTTATTTGTTGTTTTAATTGTTTTTAGTGAAGTTATTGTTGAATTGGAAGAAATTCTACGATTGCTGTGTAATAAAGGTACACGAATCGGACTTGGAGATCTAATAAAACTTTTAAACATTTTCAAAAAAAAAAGAAATGAAAAAGAAATCAAGTTTAATTTTTAAATTTATTTGTTAAAAAAGTTTTAATTCTAATGAATATTTACATCTTTATATAAAAAAAATAACGCGCAAACAAACGAAAAGATAATCATCATTATGTCATCATGTACACCTGCAGGGAACAATAACATCAGTAGATGATGATAATTATCATTTGTAAGATGATATTATTATATCTTGTGTTTCGAATTACTTCTATATTAGGTGACCTGAGATTTTGTTTGTTTATTATTTTCTCGTAATATAAGAGATTATAAGAAAATAAGATTATGTTTGTGTGATCTAAGATATTAATATTAAATTAATTGCCAATCAATTAATTAATAAATACAGTATTATATACTGTGCGTTAAGAAAGAAAGGCGGGTTGTAAAATATTGTTTTTAATGAAAATTATACCAGAGAATCGGAGGATCTTGGATTATAAACATAATCTCCAGAACTTTCGTTACAAACTGATATGGTTATTATGTGTCGGAGCTATTATTAAAAAATTCATGTTAAAAATTTCAGCATGTGGAAATTGGTTGTGTAACGTGTCAAAATTGAATATACAAAAATGGAAACTTTTATATAAAGTTTCGGCCAATCCCTAAATAAATAATAATAATAAATTTTCACGTTTCGGATTTTTCGAATTTATTTTTACAATGTTAGCTTTGATAAAGGTATAAAAAGAAGGAATTCTCTAAAAATTTATGTAAAATTAAAAAAAAATATAAAAAATATAACATATCAATCAAATTTCTTTTTATTCTTTAATATTAAAAACTCTTTTCCTGGCAGATCAAATAAAATCAAAACCATTAATTATTATTATACTTACTATTCACTATTATTCATTATACTATTACTTATATTATTTGCTATTTAACTATACTTCAATTATTTAATAAAAATGATGTGTAAAAATAAAAATACTGGTCCTTGTGCAGTTGAAAATTGTAAAGAAAATAAAAAAGGTCTTGAATATGTTACTTTTAGAAATATAACTGATAAAGCATTCAATAAGTTAATGAAGCATCCAGATTATTTAAATATAAATTACTTAAAAAAAATCAACAACTTTGTTTTACACATTATATGAAATATGTAGAACATAAATATAAAGAAGAATAAAAGTGAATTATCTGGTGAATATTCTTTGGGTGACATTAAAAATTAAAATTACAGAAAATGTAATTCTTTTATCTGAAGAAGATTTTAGCTTACTGGTTCAAAAAATTGAAAATTTGGAAGCAAAGGTTGAAAAAAATAAAGAAATTGAAAATATATTTAACATGAATAATATTTTTTTAACAGTTCAGAACAACTCGGAAAAAAGTATTAAAATGATTATTATTTATTAATTGTTTTTTTTATTATAGGCTCCTTAATTTTTGCAGATAAAATTGAATTATTGACCAATATACTTTCCAACAACAATGTAAATCAAATGAAGATATTGAATTAGATCCTATAAAATTTTGTAAATTAATTGAAGATAAAGAACCAAAGTTGAAAGGGTTTTTTAATGGACTAACAAAAATAATCCCTGAAGAAAGAAGATATCTAAATAAAGAATCAGCCAAAAAATCTATTGTAGGTTTTTGTTACCTTTTAGCTGGAATAAGAAATAAATTTGTGAATTGTCATTAAAGATAATAAATATAAAACAACAGAGCCTTCACTCATTGGAAGATTATTTGTTAGCATTAAAAATGATAACAAGTATAAATAGTTTATCAGAATATATTAAAAAAAAAATGTTATACTGTAATTGCTGATTACCCAGGACAACTCTTTCTTAGAAAAGCTATTACACTAGATTCAAAAAATTTATTGATGGATTGAAAATGTTGTTCCAATATTGGGCCCATTACATGTTTCTTTGAATTCAAGGGAATAGATTTAAAATCATTACCTGCTGGTTATCATACAGAACATCCACCAAAAAAGGATTTGTGTGATAATTGTGACAAAGCATTTGATTCAAACTTTCCATATACTGATGGGTGCATATTGATTTGTGGCCATAGTTATCATTATGAATGCTATGAAGATCTGGGAAAAAGTTGTATACATTGTATGGAATTTTACAAAAAAAGGCATTTTTAAAAATGTTGATGCTTTTGTATCACAATTAGAAAAATTTTCTACAATTGAGCTGGAAGATAATGATGATAATGGAAATGATGATGATGATGATGATGATGATGATTCAATTAATATAGATAAGAACATGTAAATAGATTATTTTTAAACTTAAAAAATGAAATAAAAGATTGGTAAAAATCATATTTATTAAAAAAAATTTTTTTCCTATATAATTATTAATACAACTATTAAAATAATTTATAATTTTAAAGGAAAATACCTTTATAACAAAACCTCATGAGTATTAATGTTATTGCAATGTGTTGGTAATTAACTGCCCTTCTTTCTTTATTATATGTTTAATTGCATGATTTTTTTTAAAGGTGTAATAAAAAAAAAAGTAAATAAGATATCTCCTGACAAGGTAAAATTACTAAATGAAATAAGTTGCATATAACAAAACCTCATGAGTATTAACGTTATTGCAATGTGTTGGTAATTAACTGCCCTTCTTTCTTTATTTTATAATGAATTATAAAGTTCATTTAAAAATTATTATTTAAAAAATTTTTGTGTCAATTGAAAATGTGACTTTACATATATGAACTCATTTTAAAATTAAAAGGTACACAATATAATTTCAAGATCGTCACTATGTGACAAATGTGATAATGAGAAATTCCACTATGCTACTAATCGTGTTATACTGAATTTTTTGATGAGCACAGATCATCTATACTAAAAATGGTCAAATTTGTATTTTTACAATACATCATTTTCTCTTTAACACAAAAAAAAAGATTTAACATTTGCCATGTCATGATCTCCTTCCAAAACTCACAAGTTGTGCAACTTCTGTGCAGTTTTCTTGCTGATTGTCTCCTTTTGCGTCTAGCCATGCCTGGTTTTTTCAGTTTTTGGTGCAATCAATGTTTTCACCATATTTAGCAAAAATTGTGTCATACAGCAAATGGTTTGTTTTATAAAACAGGTTGCAATTGCAATTGCATTGAAATTGAGTTGTGTTGAATTGAATTGCAAAGCAATGTGTTGCAATTGCAATTGAAATCGAAAAATCTTTGTTTTTTAAACCTAATTTTTTGGGAAGGAATTTTTTGCTTTCGCTGGGTGGTAATTTCAGAAAAATTTTTCTTTCTGAAAAAAATTTTGATCTACATAATTTTTATTGCAAAAAAAAAAAAAAATACAAAGAAATAACAAAAATTATTCAGTGTCATAACTCTCATCACCATTGTCATTTACCACTGTTTCATTCTCATTATTATCATCATCATTTCAATATTGTACAAATTTTTTACTGCATCCATATAACCTTTATTGTTGCTGACAACTTCGTTCATTGTATGTGTCAGTTTTGTTGCCCTTGATGTGCTTGATTATTCCTGTGGGTCATGGTCTGCACTTATTCTTTTTTATCTGACTCCCTGATGTGATTTGTGGTCTTTCTCTTGCTGTTGGAACTCCTCAAAATCCAGATGTTTGGATTTTAATGCTTTGCTTGAGAATTTCTTATCATCGTTGTTGTTGGTATTTTCAACCCTCGGGTAAGTCCACTAGATTTTGCTTTATCAATTATTCAAATAATTATATAGGCAGGCTTGGTAGAAGTAAGTGTTAAAGTCAAGATCTATTTGCAAATCAAGTTTCCAAAATGGATGTTTATTATTATAAGTGGGTTTGATCAAAGTAAGTCCTAAGTCGAGATCTATGAAGCTGTTTGTAAAATATATTTAATTAATGTTTTATTATTATCAATTATTCAATAACTATATAGGCTGGTTTGATTGGTCAAGTTCTATATAATTAGATTGTTAATAGTTAATAATGAAATTTTATTACATGCAGCAAAAATTGTTTTGAGTTGTAGATTTTGTTTTATTAAATAAATTTGTTTGATTTTTTCATACATCGTTCATGTTTCCTCTTGATCGTATATCTTAAATTGGTCGCGTTTTACAATCATTTCATTGACATTCATTATGTCAAGCTTATTTTGATTATATCGAGAGATATGGTCAAGAGAAGAGTTAGGAAGAAGAGTTATTCTTCAACCAAGTCGAAAACCAACCCTTTAAATACATTTTCGAGTAGTACGATTTAATTTATTAGACTGTTTCAATGGTTTGTTATATGGTTGCTTTCAACTTCTTAGATTCGTTAACGAAATAATTGTTGGTGAGGTGAGTGTTGACAAAATGAATCAAACCCATATTAATATTTATTTCTACGTTATCAAATTCACGATTTTGATTGGTCAATCACCAAATTGCGTTGCGTGGGTTAAAATTTTGTGTTCCCGGAACGTCACTTGCACATCCTCGATTACAAAACTTGTTTAAAATAGCTTTAAAAGAAAAGATTTGTTTAATTTTTATTTGAAACAATTTGGGTTGTTTTTTAGTAAATTTACAAAGATTTCCTGATAACAATATTTTTTTTGTCCCATACTGTATATTAAACATGAAAGTAATCATCGAAAATCCAATTCAACCTTACAAAAGTATTTGACTGGCAAGAACTTGGAAAAGAATGAAATATCATTATCTTCAATGCAAATAGATGCTGTCTTCAACAATAAATGTATCACTTTATATTATCGATATAAACATAATGATAAGAGGAGATTTGTAGTATGTTTTAAATGTAGGTTCTAAAGGATATATAAATACTATAATTAATGACAAAATGATTTTTATTGTAGTTTTTTCATTACAAGTGACGATTTAATTAATACTATTTACCAAGGTTTATTATATAAATTCCATCTATTTTTGTATATAAAAGTGATAATAACGCAAAGACTAAATTAATTGGTTCATAAATCAACTTTTGAAGACCGTGGAAATATAATTTATTTCACTTTATTATCCATGCTATAAAGAAATTGCTGCTATATGTACATTATTAATTATTAAGGTTTAAAAAAATCACGGTATTAAAATGACAGTTAAAAAATAGGAACTTTCTTTCAAAAAAAAACTTGGACATACTTGATGGTTCTATGGCACGAGTTGAAATATTCATAGTAGCAAGATGTTGTGTTTTTTTTTGTTTTTTTTACTAGAGCTTTTTGACAATAAAAATTATGTTTGACTTGAATTTCAAATGATATTAAGTACGTGAGAAATTGAATCAGCCATTTCTATTTGAGGCAAAGTAGATGTCGAAGCTCTGAAGCTTTTTGAAATGAAAGAGCAGTAGATTTTTTATTGTATAAAAAATAAACAATAAAACAAACTTTTTAGATCACGGGGCGTTAGTCTCCATTTGACAAATCAGCTATTCCATGGAGACATAGATTATTTCACAGCTACGCCATGAAAATCATTGATCATCATGAAGCAACATTAAAAAAAAATAATAATAATAAATATTATAATATTATTAAAATACACTCCAACCGATAACGCGTGCCAGATCCTATTCCTCAGTTATACGTGGCTCTTCTCCAAATCCTGACCACCCCAGCAAGTCTTCTCCATCAGCGTCACCCAGCAAATAGCAGGCCAGTTTTCTCACTGGACACGCTTAATAAAAGGTAGGAATGATATCTATACTTTTAAGTGCATTCTACAGAATCGAAGTGGAGACAGTAAGGAGAAGTTTATGCAAGATATGATTCCTTGTTGTGCGTGATAATAAACAAACAATTGGTATATTGTTAAATAATAATAAATATTATAATAATATTATTAAAATATATTCCAACAGATAACGCGTGCCAAATCCTATGCCTCAGTTGCTACGTGACTCTTCAGCAAATCTTGACCACCCAGCAAGTCTTCTTCCACGGTATCACTCAGCAAATAGCAGTTAGTTGCCTCACTGGATACACTTAATAAAAGGTAGGATATCTATACTTTCTGCAGAGTCAGGGTGGATGCAGTAAGGAGAAGCTTATTCAAGCACTCTCCTTGTTGCGCGTGATAATAAACAAACGATTGATATATTTGTTTTGCGTGAACATTCATTATTATCATTAAAATAATCGTAAAGATATATATATACACACATACATATAGGAAACTGCTATTGGATAACCTGGGAACACTAAAAAACGATTTGATAACAATTATTCACATCTTCCTTGCGAAAAAGGCTAATCTGACTTGATCCCCCGATGATATAATAATGGAATTAAACTTCGGGGAGGGGTAACGACGCTCTGAAGTTATTGATCACATTGTGTCAAGCCTCTTGCTTGTCTGAAGCCTCCCAACTTGTTCAATTGCCTTGCCTATAGAAAAATTAGAATTCTATAGTTATGAGGTTTGCAATCGCATGACGCTTGCTTGTTTGTGAAAGGAAAATTTTATTAAATCTGACACCCATAATCAGGGTTGGCGTTGGCTGTTGATCCAAATCCGCCACCACCATATGCTGACAATAATCACACGTAATATCAAGTGTAGGATCAACATCAACATTCCTACCACCTCAACCTCAATCACCACCTCAATCTCAATCACCAACCCAATCAAATTTACCACCAATTAAACCTCCAACATCAAGAACACCAAGTTACAATAGAAATTGACATGTCCGATGCCAACCCTATTTATAATAAACGTCAGATTTATTCATTTGGTAATTATTTTAAAAAAGCTCTACAACTTGTAATTGTGTGCAATTGGAAAGCGCACACACACAAGAAAAGGGAACCAAGTAGAGGAAAAGGATTTTTTTATATCCAACTCTACCAAATTCCCCGTATTCTACCCGCCAGGAAGGACATCATTATGTGGCTTTTTTAAAATCACTGCATGGTCTTGGTATTATCATTACTCGGGTGATGCAATTGTATGTTATACCAAAAATGTATTTTTGATTCAACCAAAAGAAAAATACTTTATATAACATGTTGAAAAATAAATAAATTGAATACAGAAATGTATGTGCTGTATATAATAATGGGCTTAGCAAAATCGGCGGGGAAAGAAGATCCTGTTGGACTTGACTCTGGTTTGAAATTGGGAAAGAGACATATTAAGGTAAGTGGGGGTGATTCAGCACAAATGGTGAAATACCACACACAACCCCTTATCGTTTTTTTTTACTGAGTGTGGTGGGAAAATTAGAACATATGAACCAATCTAACATTAAACCCAAGAATTATAGTACTATTAGATGCATTTTGAAAAAGCAACAATGTGAGAAATTGCTCTTTATGTTTTTAAAATAAATGATACTCGAGTACCCGAGAATTATTTAAGGAAAGATGAAGCTACTAAAAGAAAGAAAAGTAATAAGCACTAGGAAAGAAAGTGAGGTGAACAACTATGTCCTTTTAGCAATATAAATGATAATAGTTATATTAAAGTTATAACTGCCAATCAAATCAAATAGGCTTATTATCAACTTTTCTCTTTGTATGTATATGTATGTTTTAAGATATAGTTCTTATATTCTGTTTGCTTTGGCAAAGTATTCATCTTTTAGATCATTAACTACGATAGTTTGACATAGTAAATATTTGGTCCTTGTAGATGGAGAATAGTTTTATAAACAAACAAATCAATTATCCCGCTGTAGATCCTTTTTCCACATTATCATCAATAAAAATATCAAAACCAGAATGAAAATACTTGACTCATTCATATTTGGTGAATTTTTTCTTGTTTCGATGAAATTGACATTGCCCACCCTACTACATGTAGTTATTACCTGTACATTTTCACCACTTAAAAGACAAAAGAGGAAATTTTAATTAATAGAGAAGTTTTTCAAACAAAATAATTAATATTGTGAAGTTTCTTAAATTCGTTTTCAAACAAAATTATAATAATTAATAATGAGAGGTTTTATTTTTCGTTATATTGTTTAAATGGTTTTAACATACATTAAGTTTTATGCGTGTAACATAATTTTTAAAGTAAAAAAACTATTATTATTCAATTAAAGTGGGATATATGTCCATAAGGTCACACCTTCGGGACCCACAAAAACCTGTGACTGAGAGATGTGTGACCTTATGGAGGATCCAATATCATATTGCATTTATTATCTGTTATTATAAAGACGATTACAAAAATAATTAGCACCATTTGTTAATATTCAAGGTATGTATATTTTATAATAATTGTATATTATATATTGAATATATCGCATATCTAATAAAAAAAATTTATAGTATAATTTCTTTTTGGAGTTTTTCCCGAGACACATTTATATTGGAACAACTGATGGTATTGGTTTTACTCGGTGATGAATTTTTCAATTCGACTGTCTATGAGGTTTCTTGGTTTCGGGAAATTGAAAAAGATTTTCTTGCATGAAAATAATTTTTTGCTGTGGAGTTTAGCGTTTTTTTCAGGATTCTGACTTTTGGTCATTATTAGATGCAAGACTTTTTTATTGTTCAAAATAGCTATGAAAGGTATTCAAAGATACTTGTGCTTCCTTATCATTGATTTGATGTGGCTCTTCATCACTGTCTGGTTCATCATTATTAGTGGTGACCGTTTGGACTATTTGTTCTTCTGTAAGTAATTCGCTTGTAGATGGATTTTGAGTATGGTTTAAATAGTCATGGAATCCAAGAATTATAACACTATCAATCTCATTTGCATAAACATCATAAGGTTTAATCTAGAGAAATGGGGTCAAGACCCCTGGGAAAAGAGGAATTGATCTCGTGAGGCGTATTTACTACCAGATAATATTAATATTCTGGTCCATCTGATTCGAATTCAAACCCATTTGTCAAAGTGCCTTTGCCTTTTTTTCCCATTTTTATGTTTTTCTTTTTGCCTTCCATGCTTATCTTTACTTTTGGCATATTTGCATTGTCATTCTTGTAGTTAGTTGTCCAGTGTTGTAGTTATGGATAGGCATGATCTGGCTCGTTGTAAGCACACTTTGTGATTGAAGTGGAGCCAATTGATTATTTTCCCGTTGAGCAATATCACAGAGCCTATGTGCAGAATCAGTAATTCTATTAAGCTTACCTACAGCATCTCTTGGGTTCAGATTAGATTCGTGCGGTTTCTAGATCTCTGCGTCCACGCTGAATTATATATAAACTATGTCATCGATCTCATTCTGATTAGGAGGTTGTTGTGTTTTACATTGATTGATCATTTTGGCTTTATTAATGAAAATCTTATCTTCCAATCAAAAAAAAAAGTAATTTATTGAAAATTCGATTAGTCTATCACATATTAATTACATTTCATAAATTCTTTTTCGGTAAATCAAAAAAAATCCAGAGATCAATTAAACAATTATATAAAAAACTTCATCTGAAACAAAATAAAAATTCAGGGAGAAACGCGTATAAAAACAATGCAAAGCGATGCACTTTCATAGAAACTGAATAATTCCCGTACAACGTAAAATTGCTAAAAATTGAAAATTCGGTAATTAACACTAATTAGAAAATTAGAAAGAGATATGTGGTGGTGATACGGTTAATGATCTACATATAATTTATATTAATATCAGACAGGTCTTTCGCCCTTTTTTCCTCCTCTAATTAATTAAATAATAAATAATTATGACCGAAGGAAATAATATAACGAGCTTTCAAGAAATTTATTCTATGCCATTTGATATAGATAAATGGGATTATGATCAATTCAATAATCCAAATAAATTCCAATGGATAATTGGCACCACGCCATTTTCAAACTGGCAGGTATATTTAATATAAATATTAAAATGATCATTGTTACTTTATGGATTTTTTTTTAATCAAAATGATCAATTGATTTATTAATGTTAATTTCTTTAGTTTGTAGTTGGATCATGGGGAGTTTATTTTTCAACTATAATTGGTTTAAAGGTGAATTAAAATGTCAAGCTTTAAAATTTTTTTAAACTAGCAAAATAACAATCGTAATAATAATTGTAATCATAATCATATGTATCGTTATGATAATGAAGACTTTGATGTCATCATCATCTCCATTCTCTTTACGTAATATAACAGCATTACATAATTTAGTTTTATGTCTATTATCTGCTCTTATGTTTGTTGGTGCTGCTTTTGATTTTATTAACAGATGGAAGGTGCGATTTATTCATGGTTTTATTTTTCTAAATTAAAACTTTCAATAATGAAATTTTATTTTTTGACATTTTTTTGATATTTGATTTAGGAATATGGAATTTCAGAATGTTTTTGTACTTCAAATGATAATCTATTAAAAGGAAGACTGTTATATATAACTTATATTTACTATTTATCAAAATATCTTGAATTAATGGATACAGTTATTCTAGTATTAAAAAAGGTAATAATAATTTTAGTAATCTTAATAATAGGATGTTTTTATTTTTAAAAAAAGGAATTCTTCTAAAAATTTTATTATTATTAGAAAAAAATAATTTTTTTACATTGGTATCACCATTCGATTGTTATATTAATGGTATGGTCTTGGTTACAAGATGCTAATATGTATGCAAGGTAGGAAGGCAATTTATCTACAAACTCATTCTTATGAAGGGGGTGAAAATAATATTAATTTTTGTAAAAAAAAAATTCAATAGCATTGGAATGATTGCAAATACTTTAATACATGTTTTCATGTATTATTATTATTTTTTGGCTTCCTTGGGTAAATCTGTTTGGTTCAAGGTAAATTCTTTTTTAATAATTATTTTTGATTATTCCAAATACTTTATTAAAAATTATTATTTTATATATATCTAGAAATATTTAACAGCAGGTCAAATAATTCAATTCACCATTTCATTCATTCTATCAATTCCATATCTTTACTTTCATTTCACCAATAATTGTAAATATGGTTTTACCGCTTTTCTATTCTCAATGTTTTGTAATGGAAGTTTTCTGCTTTTGTTTATTAGATTTTATTCAAAAACTTATAATAATAATAATAATAATCATAAAAATAAATAATGATAACTAAGAGATTATAGGGAGATTGATAATAGTAGATTGGTGAATGATATTGGTTGAGTTATTAATAATTGCTTTGGTTTGTTATAATTATGTAGCTAAGTATATACATGTTTATATTTATTCAGTAGTGATTATAATATTTTTTACATTTTGATTTTTTTCTCCTACATCTCACCTGCTATTTAAAACAATGAAATAAAAACTTGATCTAATATATTATAAAGCAAATGAAGTATATTAATATTATTAATACTAATAAAGAAAATAAGGATATGATAACAATAAATATAATAATAATAATAATAATAGCTAGTTAATTATCAATTCGTTTCCAATTCCTGGATTAATCAAGTCGAATTTTAAATCTCTCAATATTCAAGTTACAATTGATTATTTTTCAATAGATAGTCTAATCATTTTAAAGATAATTCATAATATATTCTTCAACAGGATTTATATATTGTTTATGTAGTTGTTGTTGTTTGTGTTGTTGAACAGCAGCAGCAGTAATACCAGTCATCATCATATGATCATATTCTTGTTCACCATCATCCAACTTATCATAATTAAGTAAATTTTGTAAAGGATTTGGTAACCCTTGCCCATAGCATAAAATTTTATCATCATCATCAATTGTATTTGCAAGCCCAAGTTCTTCAAATAAATCATTGTCATCATCAATTGCTGATTTTCCAAGCAATTGATCTGACTGTTGCAATGTTGGTGATAATTGTTGTTCTTGTGATTTTTTTTGTGTTGATTGCAGTTCTTGTTGTTCTTTGATTATGTTGGTATGATTAATGATATCTTGTATGGAACTTGGAATATCATTTTCATACCAAAGATCATCATCATTGTTGTCAATATTAATTGATTTTGCAACATTTAGAGCTTGGTTATACAAGTCATCATGTTCTAAATCAACTAGTTGATGATGATGTAATGGCGATTGGTTTAATGTTAATGGTGGCGATGATGTTGGTGATTGATGTGGTGGTGATTGGTATAATGGTGGTGGTGATTGATGTAATGGTGATTGGTGCAGTGGTGATGATGGGACTTGCTGTTATTAATATTTATATTATTAATATATGCTAATCTTAATATTAGAAACAGTTATTGCCATATATATATATGGAAAATAATCATACCGAGTTGTAGAAGCTCATATCCTCATCGTATTTCATCATGGCCTTGTCTCTCATTTCATAATAGGGCTATATATACAATTAAAAATGTATAATGAATAAATCGATTGACTTTAAAAAATCAAAAATCAAAAATCAAAATTTTAATGTCTTTTTAATATGTATTGCCTTCTTTTCTTCATTGGTCATTTTTTTCCATATTTGCCCTAATGTAGTAAGAATATTTTTATCAGGGTATCTGGATTTTATTTCATCACTAAATTATTTTTTTGAGGAAATTATATACATTAATCAATCAATCGTCATCAATTTTATAAGTAAACACATTTATATATAAAGTAAATCGATACCGTTTTTCCTTGGAGAATAGAATATAGGCATTGGGAGGCTTCTTTGGTACATCTGGGTCTTTTAATTTACGCGTCTTTTTTCCTGTTGGTCCCTCATCTTGATCATTTGTATTTTTTCTTTTCTTTTTATTGTTAGTGATAATGGTAGCAGTTGTAACGGCATCACCATCATTATCATTAACAATATTGCTGCTATCGTCACTATCATTATTAATATTATTATTTTTGGCAGTTGATGCAACTGTTGATTTCTTTTTTCGTCGAGTTGGTGGTACTTTTTTGATAGATGAATCATTATCATTACCAATATTATTATTGTTATTACAATTTTTATTGTTATCGGTAGTTGGTGCAGCTGCTGATTTCTTTTTTCGTTGATTTGATGATGTTTTTTTGATGGGTGCATCGTTATTGATATCGATATTATTATTGTTATTATCATCACAATTATTATTATTATTGCTAGTAGATATAGCTGCTGATTTCTTTTTTCGTTGAGTTGATGATGTTTTTTTGATGGGTGCATCACTATCATTATCAATATTATCATTATCATTTTTGTTAGTAGATGATGGAGCAGCTGCTTTCTTTTTTCGTTGAGTCAATAATGCTTTTGTGATAGATGGATCAGTTATCTTTTGAACATGTTGGAACTTTTGGGTGCTTTCTTCAACAGTCTCGACAGTTTTAATATGATCTGCTTGTGAATTGGTAGCATGAGAGTTAGTTTCATAAGAAGAATTATTTGGAAAAATAACAGTTCCATAAGAAAAAGAATCATCAAGAGAAGAATTGGTTCCAAGAAAAGAAGAAACAACAGCATTAGAAAAGGCAGGAGAAGTAGTAAAAGTGTTGTTTGATGGTGAAGTGATGGTAATTGGTAATGGATTGTGTTGTTGGCTAGAAAAAGTTGTTGAATGAGAAGAACTTTTTGGAGTGGCTGTAGGAAGTATTGGCTTAAATGTACCACTCATGTTTAATAATTACAGAATGTTTGTTTATCGGCAATTTCAAATGAAATTTTTAAAAGTTCAAGTAAATCTATGTGTATAAATATATAAAAAAGAAGAGATTAACGCGTTAAGGAGCACGAATCATTAAACTCGAAATATGGTTGGCAGATCTCCTATTGCTGCGCCATGTTATCAAAAAATGAACCTCGCGTGATTTTGGTCTAAAAAATTTCGATTATTATATATGGGGCATACTGCAACAAAACAAGGCAAAGTGAACATTAGTATTACCAAAAATTTCAGGGATCAAAATTTAGTCATCATCAATATTAATATTTTTATAATGTTCTATTTATTATCTATGGTATATAATCATCCAAAGCTAATGATATTTATTTTATAAAATATCATAATAATTTTAAACAATACAATGTTCTTATTTCTTTTTTGTACTTCTGATTGGTGATTTTTTTGTCCTCTTTCTTTAATGACTGGATGAAACAGGGTTGGCAAATGTGCAGTCCATTGATGGTCTATTGATGGTCTATTGGGTCCATTAATGTAACAATTTAACCATATTTAGTATTACATTAATGGCAATGGACCAGTCTAAAATCCATCTGTTCTCAATGGACCAGTTAATTTGCCAACCCTGGGGTGAACTATATAATGAAAGGCACGCCCATAAGTTTTTTGCACCTGATATAGAATTTGGTGAAACCTAATAAAATATATTTGTATTAAACAGCTTATTAAACAGCTTATTATATATAAATAAATTATTAGATGTTATTGAAAAATCTACCCCATTTTTTTTGTAATGTGTCATATGAAAAATCCTGTGCAATAATGGACAATATTCTCTGCTTTCCATCTAACCCATGACAACTTTTGCACCAATATTTTGATTTTTATCCATTTCTAAGATATTTAGACCATTTTATATTGCAAGTGAGTAAATTCAAGTTACTACTAGAATACTAAAGCCATTTTCAAAATCATTATTATTGTCTAGCTTCCAAATTAAAGAGTTCACCAAACCCTAATAAATTTAAACAAAATAGCCATTAGATAGATCCTAGTGTCTTAAATATTTTCAATGTGTAAAACAAAACTCACCCTGATATTCCAAGCACATATCAAAGCAAACCTCAAATTATAATACATTGAATATTTAAGTGGGAGATCAAATCAGGGTTGGCAAATGGAGTTGATAAACCTCTTGTTTTTCCATCAGATAAAGGGATATCATCACCATTTGAATCTGAATCATCACCATCACTGGTTATACCTTAATTCCAATGATGTATAACTTTGAGCTATCCTTATTTTTGATTGTAAATTTTCATCTAAAATGTCTTTTAACATCCTTGGGAAATGAAAATTATCAGAGGAAATTACATATTAAGCAAAATAAGCATATTATAACAAACTCCTACTTGTTACAGGGGAAATCATATATAATTTTTAAATAGAAGTTATTTTTGCATAGTTATATAAAATATCAAAGCATAAATTGCAAATAAAATAAAAAGCAATGAATATTCATAACTCAATATACTGACCTTTTAAATCATTTTCCTTCAATCTCTTCCTCTAGATTTATCAAACGAATAATGCAGAGATAAAGCAAAAGAATGCAGTCTTTATACCAAAAATCTCTCTTACAAAGAAAATAAATGTAGAAAATTATTAGAAAGATTTTTATTTATATTTGATAAATAATATTAATAATAAGTACAGATTATCAACCAAGGTTTTTATGCAGATTTTTTAAGTTACACATACACATCATCAAAACATTATCCACATTTTCGAATAAGGGAATTTCGAAAAATTTATTGGTAAATTACAAAATTCCACCAATCAAAATTGACCAAATCGCACAATAAAAAATTTTATTATGAATATATCAATTTTTAAGGTAATGATCGACACGGGCGTGGTAGACTTTTTACAGTTTTACAAAACCCATAATAATAATAATAATGGTCGTATAAAATCTCAAATATCATTTGTTAATTAAAAAGCATGATGATCAGAAAAATTTTTCTATATAAAAAAATTTAATCATATAAATTTGTATGATGGCCAGTTTAAGGGATAGTAAAATAATCAAATATTTAGATAAACTTTAAAATGTAAAGGCTTGATAACCAAGTAAACTGGAGAAATGATATTTCTGCAATTGTAATTCTAAATGCTCAACTAATAGCCTATAAGAGAATATTTTTTTATTTATATTAGTAAAAAAATTTTTTGTGAAGGTTCAAAGTTATCAATTTTATTGATTTTACCACAATGTACAGTGTGTTTCAAAAAGAATGGTGTGCACAAAAAATCGTATACTGCAACAATTATGCAAGGTAAATAAATAAATTTATGCTCATTTAAAAGCCTATTGAATACTCTATTAAATAAAAAAATTAATAAGAAATTCTATCCCCTTTTTTTTCTAAGATCAATTCACATCTCTGTTTCATAAACATAATAATATTTTTAACTGTTTCCTGAGGAATTTTTTCCCATTCTTCAACCACAAATCTATTCAATTTGTCAACATTCTTTTTTCAACATTATTTTTCATAATATACCACATGTTCTCAATGGGTTTAAGGTCGGGACTGTTGGATAGCCAGTCCATTGCATGAATTCTTTTTTTATCAATAAAAGTTTTTGCAACACACAATGTGTGCTTTGGATCATTATCCTGTTGTAAATTCCAGTTTCTATTGTACAATCTCTGTGCAGAAGGCAAAAGCTGAGTCTCCAATATGTTAATGTAATAAGGTCCATCCATAATATTGGTAAAGCAGAATAACAATGTTTTGCCTTTTAATGAAATGCCACCCCAGGCCATTACTTTTTGATGATCTTTTGGCAATTTTTGAATTGGTCTTTGCCCATTTTTATGCCATCTGCGAATTTTATCACAAAATAAGTCAAGGCCATTTCATTGATAGAAATTGTATGGCTCCAATCATCATTCATATGAGATTGTGCCCATTCCATTCTTGTTTCAATATGGTGAGCTGTTAACATTGGTGTTCCAATGGGCACAGAACTCTTATAATCTTTTTTTTTAATATGTCTCCATACAGTAGGATGTGAAATTGATGTACTATGCGTTTCTCAAAGTTTTATTCCAAGTTGTTGTGTTGAAACAGCACTATTGTGGCAAATAACTTGCCCAATAGAACATGCAAAAGTTTGTGTAATCTTTGATGGATGACCACTGTAAGGTTTCTGGTCGAAACTGCTTCTATTAGTAGCCGAAATTGCCCAAATACTTTGGGCAAAAATTATTTTTTTATAAGCCCAAACTACTTTTTGTTATTAGCCGAAATTGGGCGAAATTATTTTAAAGTTGTTTAAGTTAAAACAAGTTGATTCATATAGTTTTTTAATGTTCATGCTTATAGAAAATGTTGAGAAGCCCAAATTGCCCAAACTAGTTTGGGCTTTGAGAAACAGTTTGGACCAGAAACCTTAGACCACTGCCACCTTTATATTCAATAGTGCCTGTCTCTTGTAATCTTTTTAAGTTTCTTTGAATAGTATGAAGGGGTATTTTTGATATTTCATGTATTTCTTTTGATGAATGGATACCATTCATCCAAAAATGTAAAATTGCTTTACATTGTACTTCTAATTTTGCAATAACCATCTTTTACAAAGTTTACACATCAAAAAAATAAAGAGAGACAATGTGATAAATACATACAAGGATTGGTTATCACATAAACAAGTTATCCGATCATTTTGATCATGTGAAAAAAATTTTTTATTTCAAAAATTTTTAAAATGAATTTGCATTATGCATGCCATTCTTTTTGAAACACACTGTAAATTTAGATAAACTTTAAATGGTTTTTTTTTCTTTAAGAAGCTTTTTTCTGCTGATTTCAGCGAATGTAACCACATGTTTTTTATTACTCAAGCTTTAATATTGGTGAAACTATGTATATTTAAATATAATGCAACTTTGAAAGGTTTTTTTAAGATTGAACTTTAAATATTATAAATCATTTTTATCAAATCACTAAAACAAAATTATCCACTTATTCATTCTGATCCACATAAACTAATAAAAATTTATCATCATCAATTAAAACACACTCTCCCAAAATTAATTGGTGACACTATAAATATTTTCAACTTACCAGCTGTACTTCCCATAACAAAAGTTGTAGATGTAAACAATAAAAAACGCGTGATTATTTGAAATTTAATTTTGTATTTAGTCGAAACTAATTATTAACTTATTATTAAGTTAATTTATTACAAAGTTATTCTTTGACTACAGCGAATTCTTGTTCCTTATATACATGTTGAATTATATGTATCCCAGTTTGGGATAATTATCCTACTTTGTACTTGGGATATTTCACCCAGCCTGGGATAATTAGCAAATATTTTTCAATATATAATTATTGAATATTAATTATTATTTATGAATCTAAATCTAAAGAATAAGGATCTTTGAGATGATAATACATTTATGTGTAAAGTGGTATAGATTAATTATTCCAACAATGAATGGTATCAAATTTGTTAAATATTTTTATTAATAATGACATACAAATAAATAATTAAAACATTAATATTGTTGTTTACCCTTCCTTGTTTTACTGCAATTATAAATATATTTAGTTAATCTTCAGTGATCCATCCAGTTTTTTTTTCACTTCTTTAATTAACTCTTCTGTTGGCTCACCATACATTTCAATGGAAGATCAAGTATTTCATGTTCTTCAAGGGTTGTGATCCTCCTTTGTCTCTTGGCTTTTTCCAGTTTTCACCCTCCCAATCAGTTATAGTCCTTTTATTATAATTACATTTGAAGAAAAATCATTAGTAAAAGAATTCATAGCAATTTAAATAAATAAAGTTTTGACATTGGCCTTTTTCATCATTATATTCCTCTTCCATATCACTATCACTGAGTTCATCATCATCACCTTCCTCTAATTCACTGTCATTTAAAACCTCATCCAACTCATTATCACTTAAAAGCCTCC